ATATGATCCGCCAGCACATGTAACAGGTGATCAGAAACTAGGTAATGTTACCATATGATCCGCTAATACATGTAACAGGTGATCAGAACCAAGGTAATGTTACCATATGATCCGCCAATACATGTAACAGTTGATCAGAAACAAGGTAATGTTACCATATGATCCGATAATACATGTAACAGGTGATCAGAACCAAGGTAATGTTACCATATGATCCGCCAATACATGTAACAGTTGATCAGAAACAAGGTAATGTTACCATCTGATCCGCCAATACATGTAACAGGTGATCAGAAACAAGGTAATGTTACCATATGATCCGCCAATACATGTAACAGGTGATCAGAAACAAGGTAATGTTACCATATGATCCGCCAATACATGTAACATGTATTCAGAAACAAGGTAATGTTACCATATCATCCGCTAATACAAGTAACAGGTGATCAGAAACAAGGTAATGTTACCATATGATCCGCCAGCACAAGTAACAGGTGATCAGAAACAAGATAATGTTACTATATCATCCGCCAATACATGTAACAGTTGATCAGAAACAAGTTAATGTTACCATACGATCCGCCAAATACAAGTAACAGGTGATCAGAGATTTATTAGTGATACCAAGGAATACGTGGTTGCAAGCTATTGTCGCATCAGAGATTTATTTTTGTTCCCAGAGTAAGTTTCGTCACAAAGATATCAGGTGATCAGAGATGTAAATTTAGTAACATTACCAGAAGAAAACGTTGTTATAGCTCAACAAAGGTGTATTAATATCACCAGGGGATACGCCGTTCCGTGTAACATGTAATGACAAATATAAAACATTTATGCCACTCGACGTCGGTACACGCAACAGGTGAGGTGAGGTGATATTGGGTTTTAAGAATATTTCGCTCATATGACGACGTGCATGCGTGTGCATGTGTATGTGCTGCTGCTTGTACTAGCCCAGACTTAAGCTGGTTTTATAGTGCTAGCCCACTGAGACACCATGCCGCAGTGAAGCATGAATACCCCACTCAGACACATTATACTGACTCCGCGCCGACCAGTCCTTGTTGTACCCATTAATGCCGAGCGCCATGCAGGGACCAACAAGTACCATAGTTTAACGTCTTTTGGTATGACGCGGTCGGGGATCCTTCCGCTCTACGGGCGGACGCACACGCAACAGGTAGTTAGATATACATACATGTATATGTTACCAGGGATTACATCGTTACATGTAACATGCGATCATGCATCGATAAACGCGACTGGTAAATAATAACATGCCTAACCAAGTCTCCGAACCAAACCACTCGATCCCGTTAGTAGTCTCTTACGACAAGCATGGGTTGCTGAAGATGACTTCTAACCCGGATTAGGACCCGTGAAGATCCGGTCTGGAATTGGTCTTCAGTAAAACATGCTTGTCGTAAGTGGCAACCCCGTTTTGGTCGGATGGTCAGGCTCGCTGACTTGGTGGACACATGTCATCGTATTCTATTTGCGTAGATCGATGCTCATACTGATGATCACTGGATTGTCTGGTCCAGACTCGATTATTTACAGACCGCCGCCATATAGGTGGAATATTGCTGAGTGCGGCGTTAAACAACAACCAAACCAAACCATCACGGTTAGATCAGAGATAAAGCAATGCTATACTGTAATGAAACTGTTACATGTAACACGTATCCTCTGTAACAGTTATATGTATTTGATCACTGTTATATGTAACAACATATCCTCTGTTAATACTGTTGTGCATCTGATGACTCCGTTGCTTATGAAGTAACATCTTGTATAATCAATAAAGCACTTGTTACTCCGTTACATGTAACGACATATCACGTGATAAAATTAATAAATCACTAATGACTTCGTAGCTTTTAACGTCGCATCCTCTTGTATCATTACCTCATGCCCCTTGAATCGTTCTTATCTACGCTGCAAAACAAGTCGCGATCGATTTACGACAATTGATAAACACCACATTATAACGAAAACTCATGAAATCAGTAAAATATTTGTATAATGACTTTTAAATCATCCATTGCGTTGTTTTAAACGCTTTCAAACTGGCCTGCATTCAGAGCAAGGCGAGACAAGTTGAGCTCTGGAAAGTATTGTAGCAACACTCCGAAGTGGTGGACACTGTCCTTCAGTGAGGCTTGAGAACACGACCCTCCGCGATCTAGGTGGTCCGTGATGGCGAACATAGCATACCACAAGACTGGACAATGACCACGACGGTCGCCCGACCCCTCGAGTCTCTTCGTGGATGCTGATCCCGCCCTTTACCTGCGCTAGATAATGAGACAATGGGATGCAATTATTGTCCACCACTGTCTACATCAATACCATTGTTCTGCGGCTGTTATGCTGGTGGCTGGAGTCAAGTGCTCACTCGGGCCAAAACCCGAAACTTCCTTTCTAACCAAAGTGGCGAGATCCAGCCATGAGCGTTAGTTTGTGGAACGCGATGACAAATGACGTTTTAAGAACCGATGGCAGCTCGATGACGCCTTATAAGTGTTGATACAACAAATCACAATAACACTCGTTTAGTATTTATTTTACCTGTTTGATGGAAATGGCAGTTTTGGCATCTCTGCTCAGCCCTATAAATTCACTGACAATATACGTACACATTTATGTATTTATATATGACATGAATGAGGTACTAAAATACCGAAGACGACTGGCAGTCAAGAATATGACGTAGTAAATAGTGCCAAATGTTAAACTGCGGAAATGTGTGTGGGAAGTTAAGAATATTGTCACTTAATTGCTGTGCTGATTTTTATAGTACAATTTAGAGACAATAGAGTAGATCAATATTCATAATACAAATTAGGGGCGCCACAAAGAAGTAGACAATAGATGTTTAATTATAATAAAAATATCAGTAGCGGCGATATTGATATTGATGATATAATTTAGAAGTTTCATTAACGGCAATACTGAAAATATAAGACACTTTTAGCTACCTGTAGTTAGCTGACAACCACATTTGAATTAATCATGCTTGGACGCCCGGATGTCCCGTCGCCTACGCACCACCAGGTATACAATGAAACGCTGTATAAATATGCAGTCTGGAAATATGACAAATACGTTCCCATGAAAACTATAAACACTTATGCAGTTTGTGAATAACATGCGTAAAAAAGTGTCACTATGCTCTATATCTCGACAAGGATATCACGGACTACACATCAACATATACAACACATCTAACATACAATAAACCTGTGTTGAAACCCTTAAAGATAAAGGAACGTGATGTCAGTGACGCAAGGGTCTCTTTTGTTACGAGCCAGGGTTGCAATAAAACGCTGGGTGATTTCTAGGTATACAGGTAGATGTTTCATGACCCTGTCCACACACCCGAAACCAGTGACTTACAAATGTTGGTATAGTTAAACAAATTATCGTTACCCAGATACTGATGGTCACTCATGAACGGGCGTATCTCAATAAGGGCCGGTTGTTGTCGCGGGATCAGTGCCATCAAGCCTGTTATTTATGTCATCCTCAAAGCCTGGCCATGTCCTTTAGACTGTAATATTACCACACGCCCCTAAACCAGCCTGTTATGGGTAACCACTCGTCCTGAACACATTGTTTGCAATAAAAGGTAGCAAGGTTGTCCTCTATCCCCTGTTGTATTCTTAAAGCTTGCAGATAAAAGATGATACGTAAGAATTGTCGTTAATGTGGACTCTGTGATGGGGTTTCTTCTGGGTCTCATGACCTATGACCAAATTATGTCATTAATTACAAGGAGGAAGAAGTGTAAATGTAACTATCTTACTCAGTTAAACTTTTTCAAAGTTAACTATTGATACGCGATCTTGTTTTTGTGATCCTCTGTTTTATAGTGTGAAACACGCCCTTCATAAATGACAGATGACTCCGCTTTAATCACTCGTACAGATATTAGCATCATTATCCCCTTTTTCTTGGAAACACCCAACGGGTTAAATGTACAAAGGCTGGTTTTGTAAATAAATATCAAACAGAAATTACGATGTCAAAGATTGAGTTAAGAATACATGTACACACAGGTGAGTACTGAAGAATTTTACCTGGTGGATCCACTGAATGTGAGACTGATCATGTTGCTGTGAGCCGTAATTTATTTACACGAAACACTCTTCAAGAAGAAAATTACACAAACGCATCTGTGATATATTTCCCTACGAACCTGTCATCATCGCTAGATACAGCATGTCAAGATTTGATGGAGTCGCCGATTTATTTTTCGTATTACACACCTATCAGCTGTCTATCGTCTTCACCCCCACGCGCCTCCTCGCGCCCCATGACCCCCACGGCCCCACCCTCATCACTCAGTCTCACCCACATCAGTAGCGGGAGGGCAGGATCCCAACCCTGCGGGAAAGATTACAGGAATTAAGTGTTAGAGAATCACAAATAAATCAGAGATTTTATCAAGTAATTTTGTCACATGAGTCTTCTCCGCTGAAGAGAGTGAGTCTTGAGAAGGATGATACCGGGATAGAAATAATAGGACGGGGGAAACTGACTGGCAGATCTTAATCAAACATAAGATAAATCTTAACAAGAAAATTAGCCCGATGGACAGGCGAAGTAAAACAGGGTGAAATTCGATACTGCTACACTTGATCTCCTCTTGATTTGTCCTGTCTATGGTATAGGTGTATGACAGACTGAAAGACAACGGTTTCCCCTGGAGGTTTTACTCTGTAGACCCACCGTGCTCCGACCAACGTTCCCCACTGCTTGTTCTTCTTAGAGTAGAGGTACACGAGGCGCGCGGCTCAAGGTGGGTGGTCTCCGGCAATTCACTGATAGTCAATATCGGCTACGATCACGGCCGACCAATGAGCAGTTTTAACGTAAACTGTGGGGTATTTCGAAGCGAGCCCACTCCTTTTGGGGAACGAGAGCTGAATATATTAAAAGACTGTTGATCTGGGAAAATTATTTATCTTCAAATTTTATCATCAAGAAGACTGAAAATCGAGGGATTAAATAGCTTGCTATCGGGCTAAAGTGTCATAAATCGCTCGAGAGAAGCAAGGCCTGTCGCTTTGGACATTTCTCCGCAGGCTTCCTACCTGTGAAAATTTTCCAATTGGACGTTCGGAAATGGAAGCAGTGAAAAACTATTGGACTATTGACTTAATTATTTGACGAAAACCTTCCGATGAAGATTGGTGTCGACTATGTGTGGGGTCTGATAGCTTTCCTGCTTTGTCGTAAATATTTGCACGAGTGTTATACACGGCAAAGCATCGATCTTACGGCATAGGGAATACTAACGCGAAACCAACCGAACTTGTACCGATCACCTGTGTTCGATCTGCTTAACGGAACTCTTAATACACCTGTGCATTACCTGAGAGTTTGCCTGTGAAATCCCTTGCAGAAGAAGTGGGATTTATTTGTTTATGCAGATATCTCAGCCAGAGATATTTTATACTGTTTGTTTTGCCGTGGGCTATCTGGGATATTTCTTGTGCGTGAGATACAGCGGTTATCACACATGATGAATGTTCGTGCCATTGTGCTTGTTGTCTTCCTGTGTGGATGTGGAGTGGTATCGGCTAGGCGGAAGAGAGAAAGAACAATTCTACGTTTTGCCGATTGTGGTAAGAGGGTCAAGATTTAACAACTTTTTAATTTTTTGTCTTTTTGAAGAAATGGTATAGCGTTACATGAAACATTAAGTGCGGATGGATTCTCACTTTCACGTGTATCATGATATGTTTAAAATGAACGACGTTTTGAAAGAGATATTCTTTCATACCTAAGCATATTCATCATACAATGACAACAAATTGTGAATAGTGTTTTGAAATCTTAATATGACAGCGTTAAATAACTATCAGTCATGTTGTAACCATTTTCAGTCTAACATTATGCTGTTAATGCCCAAGTTTGTATCGCTTAAGAGAATCCAAACAACTTTGCGTCAATTCAAGTTTTCAACATATTTTGATATACTGATGCATTGGGGCGCACCGATCGGTTAATCTGTTGGAAAAAGCACAACAAACACGTTTTCCCGTGACACAGTTATGTGTTCGTTGTCAAGTCCTATCTCTCAACAAGCTAATAAACGCACTGGATTCACCGCTGACTGTGTTTTGATATGGCACAATTGATAACTATCCAATATTTCCTAAACTAAACTAATCGCTCAGTAGGTACGAGAACGCGAGGAAGGGGAGGGATGGCGGGGGAAGGGGAGCGTGTTACACACATGTCAGTTGTATGCCTGTGAGTAGCGTTAAAGGTCCTCTCACCACTTAAAAAGTTTAATATCCCCTTGAGAAGAATATAGAAATATATTTCTCAGCATTCGTAGTTTCTTATAGATATGCATTCTAAAGCAAAAAGAACCGTATGAATATGACGAGATGCGCGAATTGAAAACATATCAACTTAATTTATTTTAGCATAGATAGCAAAGCGAAAATACAAAAAACATGTTGCTGACGGTAGTTATTCTTGCCGCTGTTATTAGGTTTTTTAAAGTCAAAGATGGGCTAGCTTTGGAAATGTGGGTGTATTAACAAAGCTGAATCTTGTCGTTCATGGGCCGTTTTGTTTATCTGTTTACATTTTTTATCTATCACGCTGCTGTGTGAATTACCACAGTTACACAGACGGTATCGTTTCACACATCGCACGTATTACAAGTTCTATACCAAGGTTAAGAATTGGCACCGGGATGTGGAACCGTGTCTGTCTTTAACAAGCAGCGTATCTAGGTGGTTAGCTTCACCAGCTGTAGGACTGATCAGCGAATGTATATTCCGTGTTCTTTCATACAATGAGGAGTGAGCACCTGTTGAGGCGGGAAGAAATTCCGTCAGTCATAAATGGTTGGAATTCATGAGATATCACCGTGATAGTGTTCCGAGAATTGCTGTAGCAGGTTTATTTACGCCATCATTAATACAGCTTATGTACTCTGTAGTCAGTGAACGAGAGAGGACCGTATCGCCCCATCGTAAATGTAAAACTCGCATGAACACAGAGGTGTTGTATATATATTTGCGCCATGCATTCGCGACTATTGCCTCTCGCAGTGGGATGTCAAAAAGTATTTAATAGTACGTTGTTTCCTTGCTCCAAGACCAAGATTGTTATAAATCTACCGCTGTCATGGTGTGATGTAGACTAATGCTTAGGCCCTGAATATATATAATTTTGATAGTAAGAAATATACCTATGTAGATTGAAAAGGAGACCCAGTGAGTTGGGAGATTTAGGATAACCTGGGGAAATCTAGACTTGCTTCATTTAGGGCTTTAGCATTGCAGGGAGGGCTGGGCAGTAGGGAGAATAATGTGGTTCAGAGGCTGTGAGATAGGCTTTAAGAAGACTGTATTGCTGCGTGTAATTTCACATTTACTACTGGTGTAGGGAACTGAACCAGGTCTTTGGCCTGACGATTGAACACCTTAACCACAGAGCCCAACATATCCGTATCGAAACAGTACGATCTTCATTGATAAATAATCCTACTTTGGTCGTTTCAAACAGTTCTCATGAGTGTCTTCTTTGAGGGGCATTTAGAAGTTGGCGTGATGAACAATGGAGAGAGTTCTATGGATATGCAACTTCTTTATATAATATGAGCGACGTTTCGGTGTAGCTACTAACACCGTTATCAAGCAAGTGACTCTCCTTGTTGTTCAACACTTACTCGTGCTGTTTCCCCGTCTCATTATATTATATTTTTTTTTTCAGCAAACAAGAGCTCATTACGCCAAGACCAGGTTGGAGTCTGTTCATGTAATTTGGCTGAGCGTTGCTTGGGATCCATTCGATTTGCTATGCAAGGTTACCGGCGTATGGTCTTTGGTTCGAATCTCTGTTCTGGGTTTGTTTGCTCCATGCTCGTTGGTTCTGCCAAGGGGTAAATGTCTCAGCCTGTTTCACACTGGACTTTCCTCCAAGTTGACACGCCGTAATGTAACTGAAATACTGTTGAAAGCGACCGTAAACCTAACTTACTCACTTCCCTTCGGAATACATGTACTTACGTTAGTGTCCCTTTCCATATGCTTAAATAACAACGAATGGGTAGAACCATGACGCCATATTATGACTGCAAGATTTTTACATCACGTCGTCTTAAATAGACTATGCTATATCACTTTGTGACAACAGAACAGCATATTGTTCAGGTATTAATTGCCCCTAGCCTTAACAGCTAAGTGTTTACTTGTGTATTAAATGCAGTATTGTTGAATAGGCATTACCAAGAAGTATCCTAACGACAAAGTAGAGTTATCTTCGAGGATAACAAACTCTTAAATATACTGTTATAGCGTCGTTCGGTATACATCCATGTACCGTTTTTAAGCAAAACAGAATAATCTGGTCTCGGATTATTCAGTCTTAGATGGCAACTGTGTAAAGGAGTTGTAATTATCAAGTGTGTCTAGTTTTTAAATTCTTGATATTAAGAGAAGCGTCTCTGGCGGCTGTTGATCTGATTTAGATGTCATATGTGTGTGACATTACCTGGGTGTTTCGCTTTCTCAGTGTGAATTTCCCAAACAAGACTCTAGGTATCCCGTCCATCTTCCCCCCACAGCGCCACGAAACAACTGAACATACATCACTGATCATGAGTCCCTTGATATAGCCGACTATAGGCGGGACGGTGGGGTGGCCTAGTGGTTAAGGCATTTACTCGTCACGCAAAAGGTCCGGGTTCGAATGCACATGGGTGCATTGTGTGAAGCCCATTTTGGGTGTCCCCTGCCGTGATATTGCTGTAATATTGCTAAAAGAGGAGTAAAATCCAAATCACTCACTTACGTATATAGGAAATCGCATGACAGGTCAACACAAGATATGATGAGAGAAGTGAATATGTCATTACTATCCTACTGTAAAGCTGAACTTATGGTATAACAAGATGGCGTAGGGGGAATTATTATATTATTGTTGCTTGACGTCATAAAAATCCATGATGAGGCTAAACGCTGGACATCGCGAATGCATACCTTGAAGCTTGTTGTCACCTATCCTAATACTATACTGACGTTCATAAGAAAGTACACACCTGGTGTTTGGGGACTATTTCCATTAAAACCATAAATATTTCGCTAGCAATGTTGTAATTGGGTACAATATCTGGTGTTTTGGAAACACTTGCACAATGTTTGTGACAAGGCAGAATCAAAACACTTTTTCAAATATTAATGCTGTTTTAAAGAAAACATTTTACCAAAGAATCAGGTGACTGTGTACTTTCTTCTGAACGTCAGTGTAGTACATGTTCTCTTTTGACGACTTAATATATTTGAACTTGATTGGTTATATAATCTCGTGGTTAAGAGCTATCTATTCATGCCGATGTACTGGGTTTGATGCTCAAAACGGACACAATGGTGTTATGCCTTGAATGTTCACCAAAGCGGCGAAAAATCCCCAGTCCCTCAGCTGAACATAGAAACTCATTATGCAGGTTGCTTATGGGGGCTTTCGTGTTAGTTAAGTGAGTGAGTGAGTTTAGTTTTAGGCCGCTTTTAGCAATATTCCGGCAATATCACGTCACGGAGGACACACCAGAAATGGGCTCCACACATTGTACCTATGTTGAGAATCGAACCCGGGTCTTCGGTGTGACAAGCGAACGATTTAACCACTAGGCTACTCCACCGCCTCTAGTTAAGTTATCCAAATATATTTCTCTTATGTTCAGTCATTCGAGAACGAGCAATCCATAGGCGTGTAATCTCATTGCTGTCGCCGAGTTACGAACCAATATCAGTACTGCGCCTTTAAACGCCTCAATTTGATATGAAAACTTGCGTTTTGCAGGCATCGGTGTTGGGTAAATGATTGAACGAGCGCGGCAACCTGATCCACTTTGTTTAGGCGGCAGGTTTGCGGGAGACACCCATACTATTTCTTTCCGTCACGATCTATTCATCGACCACCGTCAAAGTTTTTCTTCATAATTGCCCTGTATTATCAGAGGGTTGACCCAACTGGCAATTTCTACCACATTGCCTAACTTGCTATTTACGTATTAACACGGTGATATTTCGTCACGAAAATAGCTGGAGGAACAGCTTGACGAGAGGGGATGGCAAACATGTGTTATGTAATGCCGCTCGGAGAGAAAGGCCCAGACCCGTGCCAAAAAACACCTTAAATTAACTGAAGCAGTTTCGTTGTTAATACGACGTGTTGAAATTAGTGTTTTTCACGAGCTTGATTACTACCATGACGTATTTTTCTGCCCGCGGCCATAATTACTACAACATTTACTTCTGTACTTCTGCCGTTACTGCTCATGTAACCTCCTGTGTTATTCTTGGGTTACTACAACATTTACTTCTGTACTTCTGCCGTTACTGCTCATGTAACCTCCTCTGTTATTCTTGGGTTACTACAACATTTACTTCTGTACTTCTGCCGTTACTGCTCATGTAACCTCCTCTGTTATTCTTGGGTTACTACAACATTTACTTCTGTACTTCTGCCGTTACTGCTCATGTAACCTCCTCTGTTATTCTTGGGTTACTAGTCCTTCTTCTACTGCTTCTTTTCTGTTGCAACAACTTCTGCTCTGCTTCTTCTGTGGGAGGTGGGGTAGCCTAGTGGTTAAAGCGTTCGC